ATCATTATTACGGCAATGAAATCGTCTTCATTTCACCATTCACATTTCCAGCATGCTCGTTCGTCTTCAAAACAGCTGAAAATGGAAACTAAGTGATTGCCGTGAATGAATTGCTGGACTTCACGAGTGTTCTTGGGAAGCATAACATCGCGCACTCAATTACTTGCGAAATTACGAAAAACGTTTTATGGAATTCCCGACATAATCCATCCCAGCCATGGAATCGAATGGTGTTCTTATTTGGAATTTCAAATTCACGAATCAAGTCTTGAACAACTTGCAGGAACGTAAGAGCAGTGTTAAACACTCTTTCGAACTATGAAGTTCATTGCTTCTATACAAATAACACGTCATGTGTAATCAAACATAGAACGTTCGAAATGCGTCGCATGGAAAGTTTCTTCTAAAAGAAAAGAAAAAAAATACACAATGTTAGTTCAATGTCCGTTTTCAACCCTAAAGAATAATATAGCTGTGCGTTTACAGTGTTCGTAACCAGCGGGAAAATAAATTTGTGTTGTTGCATTTCCGCGGAGTGTCTTGGGATGAAAGACAAGAATCAATTTCACGTCAATGCTCCAACGTTTCGTTCCCAAACGACCTTCAAGTACTTAAGGGAATCTCCAGATACTACCGTCAGCTGATAATTTGCGATAAGATTTACATTCTTTTTTTCATTCGTCAAGTCATAGCATCAAGCCGAACACTTCTATGAGACTCGCGTGGACGTAAGATCGTACACCACAACTTTCGCACTCTTGGCACACGAATTCTTAACTCTGAGACGCAGCACGGTTGGCATTCCCAAAGCCGTCCCCGTCGCCGCTAGAATCGCAAATGGCGTCGAGGAGAAGCATCGCTATTCCTTGTACAATTTACACCGCAAAGATGGTCGTCAACTTCGGGCGGCGAGGCTCTACTCGCGGCGCTCGTCAGACGGCCACAGTCCATCCTCGCGAGGTACTTGCGTATGCCGCGAGGAAGTCCCGAGTAGCCTTCGGCACGCACGTTGCGTAGGTGCCTCCCGCCGCGGCGCGCCCCGCCGTAGACTGCGGCCACGCCCCGGCGCGGGCGTGTTTACTTTCGACGCGCCAGCTCTGACGCCGCTCTCATCTGCTTTCGGCGCCGGCCCTTCCCCTCGCACCGCCTTCTCCCGCCGTTTTCGTATTTTTAACCTTGTAGTACTCGCGACCAATTAAGTATTCGTTAGGGCCACATATGCAGCGAAAGATAAAATTATACTTTTCTGCCTTGATGAGTTTCGCAAAAACTTTCTGAACAAGTAGTACTCTTATGCCAAAATGTTTATTTGAATATGACGCGAAAATCATTGAACTTAAATCTTTGGTATTCAAGCCTACCAGTGTTGTCTCCTGGATGAAAATGGGGATAAGCGTCGTCTATTATCATACGAAATATTTTGTCTCCTTTGATAATTCATCACGAGTCATGAACAATAGTATAACAATGAAGTAGATGACAACAGTATCTACTTTCGGATTTCCTTGAGGGCAAACTTCCTATCATTCAAATGAGAAGTGCCCGTTCGGGATACAATTAGTATAAGCCAACCGACTTTCACACTATCTGACAACAACGTACTTACAATGAAAAGCTCGCAAGCAGACTGGATGGTAAGTTACATGTCTCAAGCTACTGGTATCCTCACCCCTCTAAACTCCGTAAATGTTGTGACCCAGCAAAAATAAAATGGCTGGGTAACACATTTACATGTGTAAGTACCTCGCACGAACACTCCATGCTTCAGCATCTGAGATACCTGCACTCATCTGTTCTCTCCGAACCGCTCCTAAACTTCCGTTTCCGAAGCCTGCGCCACTTTTTTCAACGAAAAATAGCACAATGAGTAGATCTAAATCTACCAGCTCTCCCTAACTTCTCTTTGCCTCGCACCACGTCTTCTCGGGACTACAGAATGTCAACCATTTCCGTCAGTGCAACCACAGAGCAGCCACCAACACGACGCGTTCATTACCCTCCGCCATTTCCGCTCACAGAGTTGCTCGTGGGCCTGATCATCTACACGGTGCAACAGCAAGATATATTCCCACAAACATCATTTGAACAAGTTAAAGTAAGTAGAGTACTTCAGTTTTTTCACTTCCATGAATACAACACACACAAATCTTAAGTGTCATTGACATTACATCACTCATTTATTTTTCCATTCATTTAATTTGGGCGCTCGAAAAATCGATAATTTCATTAACATCAAAATTCATATTATGAAGTGTCACGGCTAAGAAATAATAGGGGAAAAGTAGCAAAATATATTCAACAATTAATACAGTCAGGAGGGCAAATTTTTTAAGTGTTTGGCATTTCACAAGCCGTAAGCTCATTAGCACGTCCTACACCTAGGGCTCACATTCTTTCATCAACCTTGGACGAGAAATAGGCTATTTGGATTTAGCTCAGAGGCGTCGTTAAGGCTTGAGGATCTATTACATGCAAGTAAATCTACTAAAATGGGACAGCCGGCTTTACTTCCCCTCCGAAGGAAGGCGTACGAAGGATTTTTTCGCCCTTAAAAATCCACGGCTTCGATCAGGCTCGAACCCGCCAACTTGGGTACAACAGTCCGATACGCTAATCGTTACACCTTATTTTATGTGGCGAGTCTCAGGCCATGACGCCTGCTCTTCCGTCTGACCACGCAAATTTCGCGCATTCCGCGTATTCCGTGGAGTACTTACCAAGAATGTATTTGGAGCCGAGGCGATGGAGATTGCAGAACTGGTAGTAGCTGTACAGCACCGCCACGCAGCGGATGAGCGTCATCACGATCATATCCGCCGCATTATACTCCTGCGAAGGAATGCGGACACCCAGTCAGCGGTCGTCGCCGAACGCGAGCGCATTACATCGCATTACACATTACATGTTAATGGCCCCGCCCCAATAGTGCCACCACTATTTTGAATTCCCCTTACACTGAATTTGAATTCCGCTATTGAGGTTATGCAGTAAACCGCGACATCTATTGCTTTTTTTTGTTGTGCTTTTGCATAACTTGCAAAACAAACATAATTACTCCATGGAAATACACAAATTCATGTATATTGAAAATAAAATTGCAAGAATTAAGTACATAAAAATATTAAATAATTTGTGTCACTACTATTTAAAATAAATGCATCTCTAGAAAACTGCCATTTTAAAAGCACAGTTTGGCTTAAAGACTTTTGTATTTTTGACGAAAAAGTACGGAAAATATGCAAATCAATACACACTTTTTTAACGTTCTGGACTAATGTATTGCTATACGACCAACTACTGCAGTTACCATGCAGTTCAAGTAAAAGCAGTTACCCAACAATGCAGCCTACTCAAGTCAGCCCACATGTAATTTGGGAAATTCCTTGCGCAAACACAGTGAGTTATTGTACATTGTACTTCAATTTAAATGAAATCAAACTGTCAAATCATTATTCATGAGCCCTCCCGTTAAGTTTCGCTAACGCGCTTGCGCAACACGCCCGAAAACTCTCTCCTCGCATTTTGGCCACTAATAGCATCGGTTCAGACACACACCACTCGCGAGCGTATCAGGTGAGAACGAAACATACAAGTAACATACAACATACTTGTAAAACCGCAAGCAAATTAACAGTAAATCAACGAATAACAATTTTGAACACCATACGTTTGATAAAATTTCTTTAAAATAATTCTTTATCTTTCATCTTATCCCTTCATTTACGATAATGTATTCATATTCATTAATTATGGCGTACATTTGTTTTTACATCATACCGTCATCCAAGTATTGCGTACTTCCAATTAATATAGTTATTATTTCACCTCCAATCTATGTACCTTGCGAACAAAATGGCGTTTGAAGGTCAATTTAAGCAATTTAAACAACAATCGTTATTTTTCTTAGGCCAATTATTACGTTTTTATTGTTACTGTTATTATTTCGTGATATTAATATTATCATTATTATTAATGATGGATATGTCGGTATTTTGACGAAAAGGGGCCAGCTGCATACTGGTCGAGCCTCTAATTTTTTCAAATTTCCCCAGGGACCGTCCATTAATTATATAACGCCAATTTGGAGTATTTTCAATACTACCTCCCCCCCCCTTGTAACACACCTTTAACTCCCCCCCAAAAAAACGTAACGTTTGTGACAACATCCCTCCTTGTAAATACAAGGAGTGAAAATAAATTATAGCACAGTAAAAACAATTTGTATTTATTTTACTTGTGTCGTATTCCAAAGTAATGAATGATAATTAAAGTAGAAATTAGTTGGCAAAGGTGGCTGCACCTAAGAATGAGATTGGGGCAAGTTGTGAGTGAAGGAAGAATGCATGGGCGAGAAATGGTTGATCACAAGCTATACACACGCCGTTGTGCATGATGCACGAGCGAAAGTCTACAGTGCCAACTTAAATGGATTCTAGAATATACTTCACATCAGTTTTGAATATTTTCTTCGTAATATTACAGATTAAAAAAAAAAATTATGAAAAAGTATTTCTATATATTACAACAATTAACAACTCATAACTTCGGTTTGTTTTCAAACAAACTTATATTGTTACATTTTATTTTACATTTTACATACTTATTTTAATACAGAAGACTCAAAAACGGAATCATTTCAGCAAATATTTAAAAACGTAAAATCATGTCACGAATCCCTCACACTTACACTACTTACTAATATCCCCTAACCCCGGGTAAAACAGCGTAACGCTGCCTCAGACCCCCTCCCCTCTCTTCAGCGTTACGTACTTTATGGACGACCCCTCCCAAGAATCGCTGGCGGAGCGGTAATTTCTTTACGTTAGGGGCAGAAGAAATCTGCACGTGGGCGCGGCAGCCCAAGTGGGAGGAGATTTGATACTTGCAACTCGGCTAGAACTAATTTCAGAGCCGAATACTAGCTAGCCGATTCGCAGAGGTGCGCTTCGGCCATTTCCCTCGAAGTAAAGTACAAAGAAGTGTTTGGATAAACCACTCACCTCGATGGGGAAGCAGGCGGCGGGCGAGAGGCCGCAGCGGCGCTGCGCCGGCGCGTGCTGGGCGTGCGGGGCGGGCGCGCCGCGCTCCGCCTGCTGCTGGCTCTGCTGGTCCACGGTGAGCATGCACGCCGTCAGCGTCAGCGTCGCCACGATCACCTCCCACGGGTGCGACGCGCACAGCTCGCCGTGCGCCCGGAACACGCGCGCCACCATCCTCGGCTGCCGAGCAAACGGGACGATCATTAGCACGTAAAGAGCTCGCCTTCCTTAGAGCAGCAATCAGTGATCGACAATCTGAGAAATGGTTATCACACGAAATGAGAAGATGACACAGAAAAATTTAGTGAAAATCACTGCGTTATTATTTTTCTAATCAATTGTCATTAGAAATGTCCTTTTATTTTGCGCTGCTGGTTTATATCTGCCTTGATTTCCAATGCACATAATTACAGCGTTATTTTTTCTAATCAATTGTTATTAGAAATGTCCTTTTATTTTGCGCTGTTGGTTTATATCTGCCTTGATTTCCAATGCACATAATTACAGCGTTATTTTTTCTAATCAATTGTCATTAGAAATGTCCTTTTATTTTGCGCTGCTGGTTTATATCAGTCTTGATTTCTAATGCACATCTTAATTACCGTGATGAGTATTTATATCTGATCGTAAATGTATTTTCTTTGAATGACCAGTTTACTATGTATTTTATTAAATTTTGAAATTGGCCAGGCGAAAGAACACACCCAATGAACTGGGCCTCACCATCAATAAAGATATTTATTTTTATTTATTTATACTTCTATTAAATTATGTCAAAAGTTAATACAAACAGAAAAACAAAAGGCTAACTCAAAACAAAACTTCTTTCGTAATTAATAATCCTGGATAGCCAAGGTCGCTAAGGCTGAAGGGCACTAGCTGCCTCGGTTCGAAGGGTCGACAATTCGAATCCCGCCTCAGGCATGAACGTTTGTGTGTGTGTTGTATTGTCCTTACGTGTTCTTCCTATAGTTCCCTCTACAGTCGTAAAACAATGACGGCGGTCGCTATATAACCAAGTTATTGAATATCGAACTCAAACACTCAATAAAAAAACCGTAAGTACGAATTTTATACTCAAAATATTAGTCGACGATGGACCGACAAAAATACGCTTTGCGTTACGACATGTACGTTTACAGCTCGGTCAGCGGCGACTTCAAACTTCTCACAATCCGGTCACATTGGGAGCGTATGCAGCTGGATTCCACACCTCACGCAGTTTCAGTCAGAGCGGAAAAGGCGCGCGGGAAAGCGCTCGGGGCGGGACGGGGCGCGTGCGATCACAAAGCGAACAGGTGAAACGCGGCGCGGCGCGGCTGAGGGACTTCGCTCCTGCGAGCCGCGCGCGGGGCGTGCGAGCACGTGTCGGCCGTAAAGCAGCCGGCCGCTCGCCCCCAACTGCCACACCGCACCGCCGCTCCTATGGCGAAAGCCCCGCGCCCGCGCGCACAGGACGGGCGCGAAGTCGGACGACAGAAAATAAGAAAGGAAGAAAAAGGAAAGAATGACGAAAGGAACCAACGAGAAGAAAGAGGGAAAGAAAATTAGATCGACGGAGGAGACTAATTATTAGTAATCATCATCATTATTATTATTATTATTATTATTATTATTATTATTATTATTATTATTATTATTATTTTTATTACTATTTTTATTACTATTTTTATTACTATTTTTATTATTATTATTATTATTATTATTATTATTATTATTATTATAAGGTCGGCTCCGTGGCGAAGACTGTTGCGGAAGCCGCCCTCTGCGCCGAGGAGGTTGCAGGTTCGAGTCCTGCATAGACATGGTCGTATTTGTTATTACCACTTCGCCCCGCAACATCCTCCTCATAATTAACCCAAATCTTAACAACCTTGTCGTACAGAGGGATAGAGCTAAAAGGCTGATCCTGGAAAAATTACACACGTTAATCGTGTAGCGTAGTCAGAAATGGCCTAAACGACAATAATAACAATAATAAATTGTCTTTATTAGTGGCGAGGCTCAGGCCATTACGCCTACTCTTCCGCCTAACCACGGTAGTATGAGGTCCCGTAACTGCTATTGAAGTACACCTCAAGCCTCAGACGTTTGTGAACTGCGATTGGATATTTCTTCCTTATGACTACCTTGTTTGTTTGAGATGTGGGCGGGTCTTTTTATAGCCTCGCGTACAAGCTCGTGCGCGGTGGACATTCAGATACGCAAGATTGCAAGACTCCTTCCCTTCATCTCCCCCCCCCTACCCGTTCGCAAATGCAAACTGAACTCGTGATATCACAAACCGGAATCGAATTAGAACACGCACTAAACTCCATGAAACTTCTCGAATAAAATACCCGACTGACATTCACAATCGCACGAAACTTGAAATGGAAACCACATTCTCAACTCAGACGCGATTGAGCACAAAGTAAGTGTTTTATTCAAGACTTATTGCCTTATTTTTGGAACAAAGAAAATCATTTGTTGGTCGAATTATTTTCTTAAAATACGGGTAAATCAAGTGATGTGTTATCTATTTATCCGTCTAAAATACCTTCACGATGTCCCACAATTCGTCCACTACTGGAGTCGCCAGAAAATTGCAACTACTTCGCATGCATTCCAATAAGCTCTGCTAGGAACGTCGGGAGTATTCGCGAGACATCATGCGTTCGCTACCAGGAAATCGACGAAACGTGTCGACCTCGTCGTGGGAGCGATAGCTGAAGACATCGACCATCCTTAATGTTTTTTGGCCGCAGACCAATGCCAATCACTGGGCACGACATGAAACTACACGTATTATTGATAGCCCTGTAATAAAAATCAAGAAATTAATATTAAAATACGACTACGGAGTTTAACCGCCAATTTACAAAACGAATAAAAAGGGTAATTTGCTGTTTTTTTTCCGGAAAGCAAGCCGCATTGGTGGAGATGAACACAAATCAACTCGTATTTTTATGACTTTTAATTTATCCATTTATTTAAATAATAAATAATAAAGTGGCTGTCAAGTAAATCTAAAATTTCGCATTTCAAACAGTATTCTTCTCCCAGGGCGATGACACATATCAGGACGATGGTCACACTCAACTAAACAAGATATTTCGTCCCAATACCGTCAGCAGAAGGACAGACGATTCCTGTCCGTTCACCCGCCTGCTGTCACGTGGCGGTCCGGGGCGCCCAGGACGCAATCGCGCCACTTGCGGCCGCGTGGGTAACCTCACACGAGCGCACTTCGCGGGCAACGAACGACGGGGCTCCGCGCCGCCGCACGTAATGGCCGCTCTCCCGTTTCCCATTATGCTGATCAGCGGACACAGACGGCGGCACCTCGTCCCGCCAGGACAGGGGCTGGGAGAAGTTACGACACCGTCTGCGCCCCTTCCAGAGCGACGCGAGAGGGCAACGCTCGCTGCCAGCCAGCGATGATCCATTCACACACCACGGAGCACGATTTTTTCTTCTTCTTATTTTATGTCGCACGATGTATAAAGAGGTAGAGCACTTAAGTTAAATGATATTCATCATCCAACTGGTCTCAACCGAGTCATTCTTCATTGCATATTTAACACTTTCGATGAATTGATTTCGTACTCTCTTAGCAACGGACGTTGTAAATGATGTCCTAAGAAGTCTGCTACAACTTTCAAGACGATTCAGAGCAGTGGGCAATAGAGAGCAGCAGACAGATGCGAAAATAGAACCGGTTATGGTTGTATTAGCATGGTGTGAAATATGGCTAACTTTGGGTACGTAACAACATGTGCAATGAATTTTACAAAGATCTTGACAGACTCTATGCAGTGCGGGTAGCTAACACAGAGATTAGATGAGAGGGAACGAGCCCGAAATATGTCAGTATGGCCATAAAAATTAAAGTTCTTCATAGTTCACCGTGACGTGTAAAAAACAATCGCCACGGTGCACAGCAATTTGGAGTAAATAACATGACGGGTGATTTGTACAAAGCAATGAAGCGACAATCTGACAGAGTAATGTGGTAAGGTTAAAATGACGACTGATATTGAAGAGAAGTCGCTTTAGAACAGCGTGGAGAGATAAGGTGTGAGACTGGACGCCAAAAAATATGCTAGGGAGGTTAGGCCATGAAAAAAACAACATGAGAAAGTAGTAATACAAAAAATAAAAAAATTAAAATAAAGTTAGCAGAAGTATGTGTCATGAAACATTCATGCGTTGGGGAAACCACAGATTATTCTTATTTTTGACTTCATTTCCCGCGCCGTGGCGAGGCGGTAATCGCCTTCTGCGAGCGACGTGAAGACATGGTCGCGGCTGGGAAAGGCTTTTTCGGGACGTGGGTGTGGTCGAAGCATGAGGCGTGAGCGGGACGTGGAGTCGTGGTCGGGACGTGGGGCGTGGGCGAGACGTGGGGCGTGGGCGGGACGTGGGGCGTGGGCGGGACGTGGGGCGTGGGCGGGACGTACGACGTGGGCATGGTATGGACGAAGGCATGGTCGGGGAGGGCCAGGGGTCGTGATCGGGGCAGCGGGAGCGGAGCGCGGAGGGGATCGGGGTCTGTGGATGATGTGAGGGCGTAGTCGGAGTGGAGAAGAGGCGTGATGATCGGGTGGATGTGATGCGGGCGGAGAAGAGGCTTTGGACGCGAAGGCGAGTACGGTCGGGTTGGGATAGCGTGGTCAGGGCAGGAGGCGGGATGGGCCGGGGCGCGTGGTCGAGTTGGAGAGCGTGGTGGGCCGTAGCTGACACATTACAAAAACTATAGGGTAATGGGATGCATGAATTTTCGCCTGGTATGCGCTTAAAAATACGTCAACACAACATTGAGTAAAATGGCGAGAAACACAATGAGCACACTGAAACAATTTAACTTCTTAATATAATGACCAGTACGTGATACAACTGTCCAAACAAATTCATGTTTAATGTACACCTCAATTTTTACTCGTTACTAGTTTTAATAAGATATTATTTGTAAACGATCCCCAAATGCTTTTCAAATGTTCTCATTCCCCGAATCCGAACCCGTTGAGGGGTCTGTGAGTGACTGCAACGATAAGAGAATTAACACACTTTTTTGCGCCTTCAGCTTTGACTCCATACAACTACAATTTCAAAAAGCGTTGGAGCGCTCAGCCCAAGCCTAGCTGCGCCATTACCGCGAGCGCAATGCAGCATCTTGAAATCATCTTCACGAAGGAAGA